TATAACCAACGAATGCACATAAATAGGCAGACTAGCGTATGTTCATACTGTATCTATATGTAAAATATATTAGGAGAAAACCTTCATGGAGTAAGAGCAACGCACGCACGCACCGTATGTAACCGTAAACCTGTGCTGCATAATAGAAAAGGCTGTTATGGTTGATTTTTACTTGAGTTACAACCATACGATAACCGTATTGTTGGCATTTACCGTACGTTTAGATCATTTCTTTTTTTCTTATTTAAGGTTTGTTAAGTAAGGCATCGCTACAAACATTGCGAATATATGTTTATGTTTTAAACGTTCTTACTCGTTTATATACATAATTAACAAACTTTTTGTAGCCAAAATAAAATGTTATTTTACTTGTAACATTCATAAGCAGAACACGATCCATATATAAATTTATTTATGTTACTATATATATATATATATATATATATGTAAAGAAAAATAGAAAGACAGAAAGAATGAAAGAGCGAGAGAGCGAGAAAGAGAGGAAGAAAGACAGAGCTTTTAACATCAATATAATAGGTTAATATAAATATATTTACTTGTGTACATCTTGTACACCTCTTTCTCGTTTTTTGCTTTGCCACATGCGATACTTTGAGATACTTGTTCATACTGTAGTTACAAATTATAGTCAAATTCTTTCCAACTTTAGCAAAAAAAAAAAATAGTGCATTTCAAATCACTTACAATATATTGACTTTAGATTAGGTTCTATTCGTACGTAGTACGTTTTTCAGCGGGTTTAAAAATGGCTGAAGCCTTTGTTTTTAATATGACTAAAATTTCTTTGCTGTTAGTATATGTTAGTCTTTGAGTTTCCTAGTCGCTAGATTTATTTAACTGCTGTTTGTAGAGCGCAACCATTGAGGTGAGACATTTGATAACTTTTTTCATTGTTTTAAGGTTTTATAAAAAAAAAAAAAATACCCAGAAGCAGAGACTTTTTGTCAGTGTTTCTAAAATTGCAGATTGCGAGTACCGCTTAATGTCAAACGGGGAGCTTATTTTGAAACGGAATGAAATAAATTTTGAAAATTCTATTAATATACATATTTAATAGGAAAATTAAAAATGCTCTTTAGAAGAATGTGAAATGATACTAAGGACAATTTTGTTTTAATTACAGCTAAGTGCTGCTACGTTCTGCTGTTACTTTGCATTACGTTTCTATTTATTTATTTTGTTCTAATTTTTGCATTTGACCAGTCACTCACAGGATGTGCCCTATACGTGCAGGCACGAGAACTGCTAGGAAGAGATTATAGGTAGAAAGGGATGAAAGGAAGAAGTTGTGTTTGTGTATTTTCGAATTAAAAGTGGAAATATCGGGCATGGCAGGAAAGATCACTGCTGGTAAATTGTTCTAAGGGGCGGGCGATGTGATTAAACAACGACAAGTCGTGGTAATGTGTCGTATCATGTAGAGGCAATTCCGCGACGAATGGGTGGGAATGCTGAGAAAGCCTTATGATCAGTCCTTTAATTGATGGAAACAACTTTTCTATCTCTATTGAACACTTGTCATAGATGTAACCATATTTAGGCACTAACCAGCCCGTGTTATGCTAAAAAACTAGGGTATCGAGGTTTCTGGAGACACTTTCGTCGCCCATGACTATCTGCTATATTCGCTATATGCAGTCAAACTTTCTCAGGCAATATTTGGAGACTCCTGCCAACATATGCGAAATATACTTTAATTTTGAGCGAATTTTGGCGGATAAATGGTACGGATATGGGCTGTAGTGAAATAATTTTTATACCGCCTTCAAAATACTTGACACTCCGCATACAAGGGTTGCCGATTCTTCTGCATCGAGACACCACCAAAAGAGAGGCTCGTCACTTCCTCTACGCGTTAAAGGATTACATTGTGTGTTTGGTGTCATTCACATCACGCAGTCTTCGTTGCAAACTTCGGTACTACTGGACTTTCTGGTGAAAGGGTGTGAACGGCATAAGGTGCCTGTTGGCTGCGAATGAATACATAGGTGTTTCTACCATGCACAGAAGGTCAATGATACACAGAGAAGAGACTTGTGGCACTTGTGCACACAAGTGGAATTTGTTTGAGGTAAATCTGTTAATTACAATTATTAGCCGACAGTTATTCGGGAAACTCAATATAGATTGAGTATAATTCTCAGCGATACTAAATCGAATCAGTTTGGAAATTAGATCATCATATCGCTCATACTCTGTCAAATGCCCTTGAGATGTCTAGCGCAAAGTCCTTACTTTAATAGGTCGGTGCCACTTTTTGCTGAGATAGGATGTTAGGTTCCCAGTGGAACGATTATTTTTTTATGCTGCAAAACTATGTTCGCGTACCTTCGCGTTTCTCTGGCTATTTCTCCTTTAGTCATGAATGTCGATTTAACCTCGCTATACCAAAAGTCTTGCAATTTTAAGTTTCTATTAAAGAGAAATCCTTAGAGAGTGTGCTACCATATGTAAATCCTTTTTAAGTATTACTTTCTTTCAATTTGCATATAAACTTGAAGCATAGTTTATACAAATTAAAAATTATTGAATTTTTAATTTATTACTTATACAATGAAGCATTTCCCAAATTTCAATTACTAACATCATTTCTTTCTTCTGCTTGGTTGTTGTTTACATGATCGATTGGCGATTTCTGTGTGATTGCTCCTAAGTGATATATTTCTTGATCATATCTCGTTGTAGTCTTTCTCGTTGTGTGGTCTTCACTTTTCAATAAGTGCATGATAAGATTTCTTCCTTCTAATTAGGAGGCATTTAAATATCATTATGAACTGAAAAGAACTGTTAATGGAAATATTATGATGCTTTAGAAACCACATCACTGATTGTTTAGTTGTGTGGTGATATTTCGATTACTGCTGCTTTGTTGGTTTACTATTCGCTCATACTGTAATATACATTATGATGTCTTTATATAAGTTCCCACTAATCTTTATTTTTTTTATTCGTTACAAAGTAATAGTTGAACGAAAGGGACTTATCACTGTATAACAAAAATGCCACGATCTTGGTCGCGTTTAAAATGTCTTCGGTATTTAGGATTTTCTATCACCACAAACACTGGTTTGTTAATGCGAGTTTGTTCCTTTTTTCTTTTTTTTTTTTTGCTTTCTGCCTATTTT